GATGGCACCCTCGGGCACAGACTCCCGAGCGACGCAGCCAGCCTGCACTCACCATCTCCACCTCTCGGAGGTCCTAGGGACGCCGCCTCCCCGCTCCCTGCAGGGCACAGCAGGGCACGCACAGACGCTGAGAGCCGAGGTGGCAACCACCGGGACAGACAGGACCACCAGAGCCTCCCAATAAGTCTCAGTCTCTTCGGTGGCTTTGCGTGGCGGCTCCCCGCCCCTGCCAGCGGCCGGACTCCATTGGACAGTACTGCAGTCCCGCCCTTTCGCCCTGAGCTACCTGGGGTGGGGTAGGGCTGGTAAACTGGGCAAACTGCCTCTGGGACTACAGGCCCAGTCACAGGAGGTTGCTTGAGACCATCACAAAACACAGACTTTTAACTTTTTTTTTTTTTTGAGACACGGTTTCTCTGTGTACCCCTGAGAGACCAAAGAATTAAAAATTAGGTTTTTTGTTTGTTTTTTTTTTTTTTGGGGGGGGGGTATTGGATTAAAGTTTAAAGCACAAGCCTGAACAACGGCCAAGCACTCTAAACCTGTCTGGCCAGCTGTGGGGAGGAACCGGCCTTGCTGCATTCCTTTCCACCCACTAGAGACACTGTTGCCAGGAAACCGCCGGTCAGCATGCCAACTTCCCTGTCTCAAGTTCCTCAGCTCACCAGATGCTGGAGGCTTTTAGGTCAAAAACCCTTCAGAAAACACCTACTCTTCATTACTAAGCGCCCATGAAAATGTCTGATGGGAAGTGGAGATGCGTTATGTCTAGATCATGAGACCTCCAGGAGAGTACAGCCCGGTGCTCAGTTTGGGTGGATGATTTAAAGGTCCCAGTCCCTCCCAGGGAGAGACCAAAAGATTAAAAATTATCAGCTATTATTTAAGGCCTAAACTAGCTGGGTGAGGTCCAGTAATGCCCTGAGGAGAAGGACCCCCTTACTGCATTCTTTCCCCACACACTAGAGATACAGTTGCTAGGAAACTGGCCCATTTCCCCCCTAGGGAGGGACAACAGGTCATTATGGTCTGGCAACCTTCCTATAGCCAATCAATTCAAAATGTAGCATTGGGCATGCTGGGAGGGACCAGAATCTTTAAATTACCCGACTAACCTGGGCACAGGGCACTCAGCTCTCACCGCTTTGGCGGTGGGGGGTGTGGGCCCAAGCTGCAGCTTGTAATTAACAATAAAAAGACCCCCATGTATTTACAGCAGAGTCTGTTTATTCCTGGTCTTTGGGGTTCGTGAACTGGGCAGAACACCAACACACCCAAGCAGGGGGATTCCAGCCTGGCAAGTGTCTATTGGTTGAAACATAAAAGGGGATGTTGTATTTTGCACTGATTGGCTATAGGAAGGCCCCCAAACCATTAATGGTCTGGCTTCCCTTGTTTGGCTGTCCTAGGGGAGAGGGACAATCTGGGCAGTTTCCTAGCAACTGTATCTCTAGTGGGCAGGAAATAATGAAGTAAGGCTGGCTCCTCCCTGCAGGTGGCTGGACATGTCTCCACCTGGCTGGCCTTTGTTCAGGCTTGTGCTTTAAATTTTTTTAATTAAAAACTAATTTTTAGTTCTTTGTCCTCTCAGATGTAGCTCAATTAGCAGAGTCCTTCCTTGCCTAGAATAAAAAAGCTCTGAGTTTGAGCCCCAGCAGTGTTATTAAATAAATTAAAAGGCCCAGTGTGGTGGCACACACTTTAATCCCAGCATACCAGAGGCAGGGGGCAGCAGCTCTCTGAGACTGAGGCCAGACTGGACTATATATCAAATCCCAGGCTAGCCAGGGCTACACAGACTATGTCTCACACAAATAAAATAATTTTACATTATTGCTGGAGGGGAGAAGCAGCACTGTATGGCATGGGTATGACTTTTTTTAAAGTGTATGCGGTGTCTTGCCTGCACGTATGTCTGTGCGCTGTATGCATGCCAGGTGGAGGCCAGAAGAGGGCATCGGATCCTCTAGGCCTAGAGGTACAGGCGGTTGTGAACAGCTATGTGGGGCCTGAAGAGCACTCAGCATTCTTTCACGCTGAGCATCTCTCCCACCCCAGAGGCCAACTTTCAGGAGTCACTGCCCTGCTTCTGCCATCAGTCCTGCATTGCTGGCTCTGGTAGCCCAGTGACCCATCCCACAGGGCCTGATGGCTAAAGTCTGAGAAATAGGAAATTCCATGCTCTGGTCCCATCAACCTCACTTTTCCCAGGAGCGGCTGGACCTCAGATGCCTCCTCACCTAGCACCTCAGAGCCCTGCTTCTTTATCCCAGAAGTACCGCTGAGACCCACACCTGTGAAGGGCAACTGAAGACTGGGATTTTCCATCTCCCATCTGACTGTCTCTTGTCTTTCCAAAACTCATTTCAAATGGGCAAACAGAACCTGGGTGGGAAACATCAAACTAGATTTTTAAAATTCTAGAATGTTAGCCCTAAGGGGCCAAGGATGTTTAGAGTTTGTTTGCTACGTAGTTTCTTACTGGAGCCATGGCTCATAACATACACACACTCATCACGGGCCCCTCTCACAGCCAGCCATTCTCACCTCTCCCATGTGGCAGAGGTGTGCTTCACTGTTCCTCCAACAGTTGCAGAAAAGGCCTGTTAGCCTGTCCAGAGGCGGGAAGGGAAGAGCTAGGCCTCGGGGGGCAGGGCTGTGGGTATAAGGCTGCCTCCTGGACTGTCAGAAGACTCAAAGGCAGAGTGACAGGGGGACAAGGGCACACCAGACCCTATACACCACAGCTCCTCCTGCCCACCATGAGGAACCTCCAACCTGGGGAGGGGTGGGGCTGTCTGCCTTGTCCCATTCCTCAGACTGGAAGGAACTAGGGCAAGCTGCTCAAGGGCAAGCACAGACAGTGGAAAGATGTGGGCCAGGCAACCCCATCTCTATGGCCCCCTTCCCTGGTGGGACTTCTGATTACCCTAAGCCGACATTCCTTTAAAAAAGGTTATTTCTAATTGTGTGTGTGTGTGTGTGTGTGTGTGTGTGTGTGTGTGTGTGTGTCAGTACCTGGGTAGGTGTGCATGAGTGCCATTTTCCAAGGTGGTCAGAAGAGGGCACTGAGTTACAGGCAATAGATGGGAACCAAATTGTCTCTGCAAGAGCAGTACTGTCTGTGCTGGTTAGTTTTGTCATCTTGACTAGAGCCACCTAGAAAGAGGTGACTTAGTTGCTTAATCACATGGCCTGTGCGTCTATGGCCCATTTTCTTACATACTGATATAGGAGGCCCAGCCCCGCTGTGAGCAGAGCCATTCCTAGGCAGGGAGGCCTGGGCTAAAAGAGCTGCATGTGAGCTGGGAGGGAGCCAGTGATGGTCTCTGTTTCACTTCCTTCCTCCAGGCTCCCATCCTGAGCTCCTGTCAGACAAATCCTGACCTCCCCCACGTTGCTCTTGGTAGGTGTTTAGAGCACTTGCTGTTCATGAAGAGGGCCCAGGTTCGGTTCCCAGCACCCACACAGTGGCTCTAGCTCAAGGATGCAATGCTGGCTTATACATGCAAGTGGAACACTGATAAAATCGAAGAAAAACCTTTTTTTTTTTTTTTTTTTTTAGCAAACTAGGACACACTCTCAACCAATTTCTCTAGCCCCGACCACTTTAATTCTGTCTCCCGTGTCTGTACCACAGCCTCTGGGCCAACGTACTTCAGGAGGTCCATATTTTGGGTCCAGTTAGCGTCAGAGGAGCCTCTGGGCTGCAGAGGACAACACCGAAGCGTGCCATGCTGCGGGAGTTCATGTCAAGCCCAAGACTTCCCATCTCTGACTCACCTTCAACAGGGATGGCTGACTTTCCGCCAACGAGAACGTTGTTCTCTTTACTTTTAGGGGTGTGAGTTATAAACCTGAGTACGGTGCTTGCAGAAGCAGAGCCTCTGGAGCTGGAGGACCAGGGAGCTGTAAGGAGGGTCAGAGGAATTTAGGCTGGGAGGACAGGTGTGGGATGTGAATAAGAGCAGCCCCCACAGGCTCGTATACCTGAATGCTTGATTAGGGCTTTGCTTGGAGTAGTCTCCTTGAAGCTTTGCAGGTCTGTATCTGGGCTTTTACTCAGTTCCTTGACTAAGAATCCGAGAACCAGGAATCATCAACCCTGACCTCAACTACCTAGTAACACCTGATACCAAAAAATGAAGGGATGTTTATAATCAATTCTTTTCCTCTTTAAAAAAATTGTTTTTAGTAATGTGTGTGTGCCCAGAGCACAATAGAGGGTGCCAGAACCCCTGGAACTGGACTTACAGGCACTTGTGAGCCAACAACATGGGGACTGGGACAGAACTGGGTCCTTTTCAGGAGCAGCTGGTGCAAGAAACTGCTGAGCCATCTGGCCTGCCACAAACTCAGGGCTGGGGTAAGTGCTTCCAGCTTCCAGGCACTTTTTTTTACCTGTCACGCTAGTTCTAATGAATTTCCCTGTAACTACTCCATCCAGCTCCTCTCGGAGGAGCCATAAAAGACTTCACCATTGACCTTGAAGCTGAAACAAAATTCCAAATTACTATTCATGACAGTCCCACTCTGCTGGCCTGGTACTCAGGAGATCCACCTCTGTCTCCCAAGTGCTGGGATTAAAGGCGTGTCCCACCACTGCCCGGCATCCAAATCACTAACTTTGAAATGAATGGGACAAAAAAATTAGTCCTTAGGGGCTGGGTAGTTGGTAGAGTGCTGGCTTGGCATTCGTGAAGCCCTGGGTCCCTCCAGCACCACGGAAGTGGATGTGGTAGCGCTTGCCTGTAATTTCAGCCCTCAAAGTGGAGGCAAGAAGGAAAGGTCAGGGTCATCCGCCCCACAGTTTGAGGTTAGCCTGAACTAAAAGTAAGAAGGAACCAGGCCTCTGAAAAGATGGTCCAGGGGTTAAGAGCATGTACTTTGCTGTCCTTGCAGAGGGTCTGAATTCAACTCAGGCAGCTTACAGACACCTTCACCTCCAGCTCCAGGGATCCAACACTCTGCACACACAGACACATAACCAGGAGTAAATCTTCCAAAGAAAATAAATCGTCTTCCGATAAGGGAGCAGCACTTCTCCCTCCCTCGAGACGTTTTATTGAAAGTGTTATTCTGCTACAGCACCGCTACTCAGAATCCGCAAGCCCTGAGGGAGGGGGACCCCCCCGGGAAACCCCCCCCCCCCCCCCATTATGCCTGAAGAGCTTCAGCCCCCTCCCCGCCCCCCGGTGGAAGAACACGTACACGGGAACGGTGACGGGCAAGAGCAGGCTGTAGAAGCACAGGCTGCTGGCGCTGGTGCAGCCTTGGGGGAAGCCTTCCTCCACGGAGGCGGAGTAGAACAGGCCTGCCAGCGAGACCAGCGGGATGAGGACGGTGAGGGTGGGCAGCGACGGCAGCATCTTCCTCCCTTCTTAAGAGTTTATCGAGGAAACTCAGCTGTTTTAAAAAGTTATGCTCTTGTACCGGTCCGCTCCTGTCTTATCTTCCCTTTGTCCCAACTCCTCATTCATCTAGGCATGCTCCCGAGGACAGAAGAACCTCCACTGGCCACCGGCCGGAGGCGCGGGCTCCTCAGCGCCTTCTGATCCGCCGTCACACGGGAACTGCAGACAACACGCACGCGTCCCTCGAAGCACAGGGAATGGATTCTTAACTGTATGGGAAAAGTGCGACTCAGTGACGTGATGCGGGGAAGGAGAAGGAAAGGGGGCCTAGGAAGCAGCCTGGAACCCTAGTACCGAGCAGGTTAGAGACAGGAGGATTGCTGGGTCCAGCTGCTGGGAAATGCAGGCGGCCTTGAACGCTGGGATCCTCCTGCATCAGCCTTCCCAAGCCATCATGCCCGACTAGAGAACAAGTCTCTTAAAGAGTCTTCTTAGGGTGAGTGGTGGCGTACGCCTTCAATCCCAGCGCTTGGGAGGCAGAGGCAGGTGGATCTCTGAGTTCGAGCCCAGCCTGGTCTACAGAGTGAGTTCCAGGACAGCCAATGCCACACAGAGAAACCTAAAGGGTGGGAGGCGGAGGGAGGGAGGAATGTGCCTTCCAAGACTGCCAGAGGTGAGACTCACGCCCCTAATATCGGTACTGAGAATGCAGAGGCAGGTGAATGGCAGCCAGTCCGTGCTTCAGACAGCACAGTGTCATCCATCACTTTTCTGAGGGGGCGGAATGAGACCTACAAATCCAGATTCACCTCAGACGGAGACACGGGACCCGGAGCCTCCTCACAAGCCGCCCGCGTCACTGCACAGACCGAAGACTGCGCCAGCCCTGGGCCCAGTCGCCACAGGGACGCCAAGGGGCACCGGGGTCCCGCTGCCGCCTCTGGCGGGCCGAGGGGGGCGACGGCCGGGCCGGACACAGCCGAGCGGAGCCGAGCCGAGCCGAACTGAGGCCGGGAAAGCCGAACCCGGCCGAGCCGAGCGGAACCGGCGGCCCCCGCGGCGCAGAGGCCGAGCTGGAGGAAGGCGGCCGAAGTCCGGGCCCGGCCGGTTCCAGCAGCTCCTCTGGCCGTCCGTCGGGACCTGGAGACCCTGAACTCACCACTCTCGGCCTGCGGAGGTCCGGTCCCGGCGGCGCCGGTCCGTGACGGTCACCGCTCCGCGGAGGCGGAGCGCCCAGCGGCCCTGTCCCGATCCCTGCAGGGGGCGGAGTGAGACGCCCAGCTCCGGCGAGGAAGCGCCCCCGCGCGTGCTCATTGGACAGCGGCGCGCTCAGGCTCCGCCCCCGGGGCCTTGAGTGCCGGGTGCAGCGCGGCCCCCTCCTCCGGCCCCCGCTTCCTCTCTGGCCGGGCGTCCTGAGCCCCGAGTCCTGCCGGAGGTAGGATCGGGGCATGTTCGCTGCAGGGTTATTCACAGCCGCGCCTTTCTGCACTCCGAAGCCTTCCCCCCTTCTAATGATGAACTGGAGCCCGAACAGCACTGGGCCGCAGCCGCCAACTCACCACGCCTCCAAAGCAGAGGGAAGGGAGTCTGACCGGGTGCTGTGCGTGTGAAAGGGTGAATGTCAAAATAAGAGTTTGTGCTGGTGGGATGGCTCGGCGAGTAGGAGCGTTTGCCGCCACGCCCGACTACCGAGTTCGAGCCTGGGGACCCACATGGTGGAGACCCTGTTTTCTTCCCACATCGCCCTCTGACCTCCACGCATGGACTGTGGCGCTCCCGCATGCACCCCGCAGTGTAAAAGGCGGTTTTAAGAGGGAATGTAGCTAGGAGCGGTGGCTTACATCCTAATCCCAGCACACAGGAGGCAAAGCAGGAGGGTCTCCGCGAGCTCGAGGCCAGCCTGGTCTGCAGAGCAGCCCCCGGATCGTCCAGGACCCTGGGGTGGAGGGTGAGGGTGGGCGAAATTTATGTTCATAAATGCTGACCAGCCACTGCTTACCTACGGAGACAGGGTAATCTCTGAACCCAGCGTACAGGAAAATGAGGCTGAGCTAGGATTTTATGTGCTACCACCCAGGGCTACCCCCCTCCATCTTCCAGCGAAGATCAGGAAGCTTTTCTTCCCAGAGGTGAGCTGTGGTGTGAAGGCCGTGCAGTTTTTATTGGAACCACAAGGTGGCAGGAGAGAGCCGAGGACAAAGCTATCTTACGGCCTCAACACAATTTTCTTTCTGTCACCACTGATAACACAGAAGCACTCTCTGCCAGGGACCCCACAGCCACCGCACCTGCCTAGGGTCCAGAGAGGGCAGCAGCAACCAAAGATAGAACACCTGTCCAACAAGGACAAGACCACATACCAACACCAGGAAACATGTGCATACTGAGTCCAGACGCCTAGACCCCCAACACAAAACACAGAACAGCCAAAGCACTTATCTTTCCTTTAGAACCCAGAAACTCTTTTTCACTAGGCCCTGAGAAACAGCTGAGGCACAAGACAAGGACTTCAAAATACCAGCTGTGAATACGGTAAAGGACCTCAAAGAGGATATAAATAAACCCCTCAATGAAGTTTGTGAAAACACAAACACAGTTGAATGGAAACAGCTTAAGACCTGAAAGTAGATGCCTGCCCAAAAGACCAGGTCGGCTGCCCTTGGACATTCCCCACTCCCAATTCTCAGGGTTACCCTGAGCATTGCAAGAGAACTCAGGGGCAGCCTCCCCTCCCTGCTGTGCAAGCCTCCTGTGGATCCCTCAGACCGTCTACCCTTGGCCTCTGCTTCCCCAGCTTCCAGGACCAGCAAGCGTCCCCCATGACCACCCCAGCTGAGAAGACCAGTAAAACAGGCGCCACTCAGCCAACACACTCTCTGAAACTCCAGATGAAACCAGGCAGAAACCAAAGGACAAAAGACCCATCCAACAAAGACAAATCCAGAAATAGGCACCTACGCCTGTAATCGCCCAAACCCAGGTGCCTGTGCGATAGAGTAAGAACACAGTAACAGGCAGGATAATATGTCACCACCACAGGACATGAATAAACCCCTTCACTCCAGCCACCAGAACTCCCCTCAGGCCACTCACCACAGACCACCCCGCTCTCTCAGTGCCTCCCTCAACTTCCCCAAGTCCCTGCTCCCCTCCTTGTCACTGTGTCCTCACCTCCAAGTTGGACAAAGACCCCCTGCTCAATCAGAGGCCACACCAGCCTCCAGAAGTCCACGTAGCTACCCAACAGAGGACTTCCCCAACTCTCTCCATGCCCCTCCCACATCCTGTTCAGAATCCCTTCATCATCATCACCATGTCCCAGCCCCCACCTCCAGGCATAGACACCTGCTCAGCCGGAGGCCATGCCACCAGAAGTCCAGGCAGGCCTACCTCCCTGACTACCTCTCTCTCCTGCCCCATCCTGTTCCCACCCCCTCATTGCCATGTCCTAGCCCCCAAATTGGGCAGAGACCCCCTGCTCAACCACAGGCCACACCAGCCAGAAAGGAAACAGTAACCAAGGAACAAAAGGCCCATCCAACAAATATAAACTCAGAAATCAGCACCTACACCTATAACTGCCCCAAACTCAGATGTCTAAACACCAGTGTAAAAACACAATAGCCAGGGCAATATGGCACCCCAGATCCCAGCTAGCCTATGACAGCAACCCCTGGACATTCCAACAAAGCTGAAACACAGGGGAAAGACCGGAAAACTAACTTTATTAAGATGATAGAGATCCTTAAAGAGGAAATACTCTTATAAAGAAATTGAGGTAAAGACAAAAATGGAAGAAATGAATAAATATCTAAAAGAAAGTCAAAGAAAAATAAACAATTGAAGGAAACAAAACTGTTCAAAACTTGAAAATGGAAATAGAACCAACACACACGGAACCTGAAGGAATCCTGGAAATGAAAAATCTAGGCAAGTGAAAAGAAATAACAGATACAAACATCACCAACAGAATACAAGAGATGGAAGAGAGAATCTCAGACACAGAAGATGTGATAGAAGAAATGGATACATCGGTCAAAGAAAATGTTAAATCTAAAAAATTTCTGACACAAAACATCCAGGAAATCTGGGGCACTATGAAAAGACCAAACCTAAGAATAACAGGAATAAAAGAAGAAGACTTCCAGCTGAAAGGCCCAGAAATTTTTTTTTTCTTTTTTCTTTTTTCTTTTGGTTTTTCAAGACAGAGTTTCTCCGTGTAGCCTTGGCTCTTCTGGACTCACTTTGTAGCCCAGGCTGGCCTCAAACTCACACAGATCCACCTGCCTCTGCCTCCCCGAGTGCTGGGATTACAGGCTTGCACCACTGCGTGCAGCTCTTAGAAAATATTTTTAACAAAATCACAGAAGAAAATTTCCTAACCTAAAGAAGGAAATGCCTATCTCTAAAGGCACAAGAAGCTGACAGAACACCAAATAGATGAGACCACAAAAGAAATTCTCCATGACACATAATAACCAAAACACTAAATATACAGAATAAAGAAAGAATATAAAAAGCTTCAAGGGAAATAGAACAAGTAACACACAAAGGCAGACCTGTTAGAATTACATCTGACTGCTCACAGGAGACTCTAAAAGCCAGAAGGACCTGTACAGATGTGCTGTAATCTCTAAGAGACCATAAATGCCATTCCAGACTAATATACCCAGCAAGATTTTCAGTCACCATAGACAGAGAAAACAAGATATTCCATGATAAAGCCAAATTTAAACAATATCTATCTGCAAATCCAGTCCTACAAAAGGTACCAGAAGGAAAACCCCAAACCAAAGAGGTTTCACACTGGTGAAAACACAGGAAATAAATGATCTCACATCAGCAAAACAAAAAGAAAGGAAACACATATACACGCCACCAATATCTATATCATCAAAATAACAGGCATTAACTATCATTGGTCATTAATATTTCTCAATACTAATGGCCTCAATTCCCCAATACAAATACACAGACTAACAGAATGGATGAGAAAATAGGATTTACCCTTCTGGTGCAGATAAGAAAATATATCAACATCAAAGACAGACATTACATCAGAGTAAAGGGATGGAAAAAATATTTTCCAAATGGACCTAAGAAGCAAGCTGGTGTGGCCATTCTAATATCTAACAAAATAGATTTCAAACCAAAATTAATCAAAGAAAATGGCACACATCTTTAATCCCAGCGCTCAGGGAGGCAGAGGCAGGCAGATCGATGTGAGTTCAAGGCCAACCTGGTCTACAAAGCGAGTCCCAGACAGCCAAGGCTACACAGAGAAACCCTGTCTTGAAAAACAAAGCAAGCCGGAACATAGAGCAGTTGAACTGGTGCAGGCTTGGAGCCTTCACCCCTGGTTCTAACCTCTGTGTCTCGAGAAGGCACTCTGCAGGCTGCAGAAAGAGAAACCTGGACACCAACCCAGCCACACAATCCTCCACCTACAATCTGCCCTGCCGGCAAGATGTGCTGGAAAAATGAAGGCACAGAACTTGTAGAGTGCCCAACCAATATGTGATTGAACTTGAGGCCCACTCCACAAAAGGAGCTCATCCCAGACACTGCTCGATGACCAAAAAACCCGAGGCTGGACAGCCTAGATACCTAGGATAGAACCAAATGCAACCAGTCTTTACAAAAGAAAAAAAAATCAATGAAATATTTCTAATGATATTCTGCTACACTCACAGGCCAGTGCCTTGTCCAGTCGCCATCACAGAGGCCTCCTCCTGCAGCAGATGGGAGCAGGCGCAGAGACCCACAGCCAAATGTTATGAGATGGAGTCTACACGGGAGGTTTCCAGCGGGTTCCTCCCCTCGGAGAGAGGAAAACACTGTGGAAGAGGGGGAGGAAAGACTGCAGGAGTGAGAGGAGATGGAGGACACCATGGCTGACTCAGTCAGCTAAGCAGGGCTGGTCTCATGTGGGCTCACAGAGACTGAACTGGTAAGCACTGGACCCGCTTGGATCTGCACGGGTCCTCCGTGAATGTGCTAGCTGTTAGCTTGGTAGGTTTGGGGACTCCTGACAGTGAGAGCAGGTGCTTCTCTGACTCTTTTTTTTCTGCTCTTGAGACTCTTTTCCTCCTGTTGGGCTGCCTTGTTAATTTTCAATGCTTTTTATATCCATCTATGATTTAACACTTAAATCCCTTTCCATGTGGTGTATCTATGACCAATGGATAATGATGTCACTGACAGGACACTTGGTATGAGCCTCCCTGGAGGGACTGGGCCAGTTTGCTTCTCTGTCGCCGTGATAAGCACTGACCGAGACCAGCTTGGGGGAGGAGAGGGTTTATGTGGTTACAAGTTACATCCCCTTATCAAGAGAAACCAGAACAGTTGCTCAAGACAGGAACCCAGAGGTAAGGATTGAAGCAGAGGCCAGGGAGGAATGCTGCTTATTGGCTTGCTTCCTCTGTTTTGCTCAGTTACCTTTTTTTGTACAGTCCAAACCTACTGCCTAGGGATGGTTCCACCCACGGTGGACTGAGCCCTCCTAGATCAGTTAGCAATCACGAAAATTATCCACAAATGCAAGCACAGGCCAATCTGATGGAGGCAAT